TACCGTGTTTTAGGTCTGCTTTGTGTTCACGAATGCGGTTCGAGACATGTCGTTTGGTTTCTCCAATGTAACTACTATCACAGAGGCAACTTAGTTTGTAGACGCCAGGGTACTGTATGTCCGGAATCACATCTTTTACAGATGGAACCAGATCACGGATTTTATGTAATGTGTTTTATGATTTTATGTAATGTGTTAAATCGGACCTGGTCTAGAAAAGAGCAAAAGTAATTTTCCTCATGAACCGAAGAAGCTAGCCTTGTTTAAGTACAGACTATCCTCGTTCAGCAAGAGTTGAATACCACAACAGCGGTGGCATGGCCCGATGGCCCGCTGGGCCATGCCACCGCCCAGCGGGCCATGCCACTGCAGAGGTGCTCAGTAACAGTCTAGCTGGATGCCCTGTAAACTAGAGTATGTGCCGTCCAATTCACAGTGGACGTAAAATATCCCGTAAGGTCATTTCACGAAGATAAGGCCATTGTGTGGCCTTCATGGTCCAAACTTCTCAAATGTTTTGAATCACTCGCCAAATACTTAAGTGGGAAACTCATGGCAATTGTTGCCCCCTCTACTACGATATTTTGCAGGATTCTTCTGGAAATAAGTCTTGAGACGCAGTGATGCTATCTTGGATATTCATTTGTTCATCACGACAAACGTGTGACCTCTTGCGACAGCATTCACGAAAATTGCTCTTGCTGCTTACACCGGTAGGTGTCTAGAGTGATGTATTTAATCCGCGTATCATGGGAGTGACTACGGGGGCAGCATCATTCCTTTGAGGGTCACAGTCCACTTTAAACGTCAAACGCCGACTAAAGTGGGCAATTTGCTACTTAAGTTTGCGCATCAAGACAGGTGACATGTCCAAAAAGTGAGGACATGGAAACTAAGCTCTTGATTGCTAGGAGACCGGTTGCAGATGCAACGGTGACATTTCTGACAAAGTCGAATCAATAAATGCCAAAAAGGTGTCTTTTGGGCATGGCATGTGAAAAGACTGCAGCCGATCCCAATCAGTTTGAAGCAATCTCCAGGCCTCCGCACCATATAAAAAAGCTGACAAAACACAGCACTGGTAGACTCTCAAGTTGGTGCCCAGACTTAACCGTTTCTGGGATCAAATGCAGTTCACACCATTCATTATTCAAGAGGCCAGGCCAATCCAGTACGTGAAATCAGGTCTACATAGGCCATCAGTGGTCTGTGCAGATCCCAGGTAGACACTGTTTTGCCTTGGATTATGCAGGGTGCTTCTGGAGGTCCGGAGCCCAAGTTCTGCACTTTTGATTTTCTGCCATGAAACAGTCAGTCCCATTTGTCTTACATTGTTGTGAAAATATTGGAGAACTGTTGTGAAAGTTTAATGCGTCTCAAAAAACAAGGCTGGATCAGCAACGTAGTCCATGTCAGTGAAGTGGTGCCAGCCAATCTTGCCTCCAAGGTCAAGGGTCATGTTTTCAAGATCCGGTCGATCGTCTGACAGAAGAGTATGGGTGCAAGCATGCATCATTGACGTACTTAAGATGTGGTCTTGAATCGTGGGGAAAGTCCAGACTCGACACGAACCCTTACACTTGTGCCTGCATGCAGATCATTCACAAGGTCCAGCAGGATAAAAAAAAATATTTATTAAAATAATGGAGCAATCCTTCAATGAACTAATCTGTGGTTTGCCCATTTTTCAAGTAAGCAAAGTTTACTTGTGGTGGGGTAAAGTGTTGGTACCTCCAAACTCTTTCAATACATCTAGTCAGAATAGACAAATTATCCTCTAGAGCTTTATCTAGTGGCAGCAAGCATAGATCATGAAATGTAATTGTATTCATGGATTGTGGTAGCATGGAATCCTGTGGGATGGAGACAGCATGTTGGAGTTTTCATCCAGCTGTAGATAGAACACAGCTACTTTTCCTAAAAAAAAAAATCTTGCTTTTGTTTTTTTTTTCAAAGGACCTGTCACCGCCCACCTGCAAAAAGATCAGGACTGTGTGTCGCAACGTGAATACATTTCAATATGAACTCGAAAAAGCCCAAAGTAAAATGAAGAAAAGAATTCCGAAATCTTTGGTCACCATTGTAAACGTTGCTCATGAAGACATTGACCTGCAACCTTCCTCAAATGGACAAGAAACAACCAAAGTTTACGGCTTCTTCATGCCCAAAACATCCAGCTTTGGGATTAAACTATATACACTCACACACACGGAGACCTACGCACACGCAAACACTCACACACGCAGCTATATGGACTATTGGGGAAAAGTGCTGTGGAAGGCTGGCATGGAACACAAGGGGGTGGGTGGCCAACACCATGCCCTCTCTCTCCTGCACTAACATTTACGCACAACACCAGGAACTCATTTGAGGCCAAGTCCACCGAGGGGAAGTCCAGGACCAGTTCAGATATCATCACTGGTGTTGGTGGCCTTGAACTGGAAATGAACTCTGGTGGCAGGGTTCATCGTGCAGTGCATCAACTACTACACCAATGCCCCCCCACCCACCCGTGCACACACACACACTGATACACAAACACACACACACTCATATACACACTTGTATGTACTTGAATGCTGTTATTGAAACCACTAATTAAGTAAAAAGAAACATTACAACTACCTCTGAATGTTCTCCACGGTTTGCTCGTTCTATACTGCTGGCCAGTGTGGGATTAGACCAAAATACGTTCTAGGGCTCCCTCGAGCTCCTTCAAATCGAGGCCATTACACCAGAAATGGTGTCAATAAGCAATTTAGCTCCCGAACAAACTGGATTTCAAACTGGCCGTAGCAGCTCCTGTAAATACATCATTGTCTTCACCGCACCCCATTAGAAGATGATTTCCAGCACCAACAGAGAACCGGCACAGCCATGATTGACCTCTCTGCTGCTGCCGTTGACACCGTTTGGGCCTCATGGCCGCCTGCTGAAGATACCCAATATCATCCGATGCTGGTTTACTCCACAAATAGTCGACGTGGAGCTCAGCGACAGTACTTTGAGGGTACACCTCTCGCTGGTAAATACAGCTGCAAGATAATTACGAACAATAGCCTCCCTCACTAGCACTGGAACAAGTTAGTCCTCACACCGGAAATGATTTAACATACCTTTAAGTGCCCTGCCATGTACATCATCTCGAAAGTTCCTGTGCAGGTGACATAGTCCTTTATGCGCAGGGCACAAACCCCCAAAACATTGCTAATACTTCAGCAGCTGATCAAACTTCATTGGGAATATATTTGTTACTGCATGCAGACGCCTAAGAAATCCCTCCAAAATCACTTGTGCTTTCCACCTCAAAAATCAAGCAGCAGATGCCACCATTGATGTGTCATGTGATAGCCCAGCGTGCTGTGACCCTACTCTAAAGGGGTTATCAAGGACAGAAGCCTCTCCTTCAAGCCCCACATGAGCCAGATCCGTGAAAAGACCAAATCAAGAATGGCCCTGCTGCATAAACGTACAGGAACAACCTAGGGTGCTCTCAGCTTATGTGCTGCGAACTGCTACCCTCTCATCGTTCTACTCAGTGGCAATATGTTGTGCTCCAGCCTGGCCTGGGAGCTGATACACAAAACTGCTATATACACAAACAATGTAATGTGCATCATAACTGGAACACTAAAACAGACACCAACCCTCTGGCTCCCTGTTCTGGAGAACATTTTGCCTCCAAATATCCTCAGAGGTGTCACACGTGTTCTTGCCAGCGACAAGCACCAACCCTTCACCAACCAAGAGCTCAACGTTCAGCTCTGGTTGGCACCATCCTAGAATAGCATCCAGCTCGGAAATAACGCTAGCATCCATAATAAACACCTTATCCTAGACCCAAATATCAAACCCCCTAGCTTTGACATTCCTCGAAGACACGGTGGAACCATCAACCGTACTAGAACATCATTAGGTTGACGCACACATCTTCATCATGAATGGAATAGTAAAGACACATGCCACATTGCGATTGTGGGCATGTAACCAAAACTATGGACCATATAGTAAACCAATGTAAATGGAGCTCGTTCAACAGAGGAGGAATAGCAAGAGAAGGGGAATAGCTAAATGACAGTATTTTGCTATTTTGCCACTTCATGGTCGTTTCATATCAGGCATCTCCATTACACCATTATAGTGGAACTGTTCAATGCACAATGAACGGTACATATATACAGTATACCACGTGAGGCCATATGTACATAAATTAAACAACATGCAATGAGCTTTCGAATAAAATATTCAACAATTTAGTATGGTGATATTTATGATTGCGATTTGATTAAAACATCAATTGTGTTTTCACAACAAGTTATTTTTTGCAAGTTTAGGATGCGTAGCTAGAAAGGTTAAAACGGCCAAACATGTAAATAGCTACTAATTATTTGCTGGTATTCGCTAAGTGCTGTTTTATTGCAGCACTTCAATTTGCGAAGGGTTGAACGTGAAAAGAAAAACTCATTCGCGTTTTTTTTACACTTTACCAGGAACATTTCATTTTACTTTTAGCACCACCCCAGACAATATTCAATTCAGCAAAATTGAGATATCCTGGGAGGTTTCTTGAGGTGAAAATAACTTTTTTTTAAATGCATGCATCTTCCTCAGCAAATGTCTGTTCAATAAAAAGAAATCCATACCAGTACTGCAAACGTGGAATTTACTCTCGTTTCAATCTTGTCTTGACATCCCCGACGACATCACTGTCTCTTTCGAACTTTCCTCGTGAAGTCATCCTCATCCTGTAACCCGAAGATCGGGCGAGTATTTCTACCCTCGGCACACGCAGGTATCAAGCACTAAGGGGCCGTCCATAAATGACACAGCTCGTGTGGTCCTCGATATATGAAGGTGTTACTGGGCAATCGACGAGTGGTTAGACGTAGGAGGAAACCTGAGCACTTGTGAGAGTTTAAAACATTCAGGCTGGGTTGCCAACGACCCAACCCCTGGGTTTAACTAAACTGGGTTGTGCGAGGATGGTACAGATCCTTGGTCTGGGCACGCTACAGTCACGTACAGTATTTCGTGTCAAGCCGTTTAAAATGCGACCCCTCGAATATCAACCAAGCACGACGATGCAAAAAAGAATCGCGAATATTTACCTGTGCGAAATAAACTTTAAATCGAAAATGCCCAAATAAGCGCGGTCTTCCGGTGACGTCACATCCATATTGTAGCCATAGCGATTTGGTCACGTGGCCGCTCTTCGCGGCATTCGTGAGGGACGTCTCGGGAGTGAAGCGCACATCGCTGGCGATCTGGAGAGGCGGCTTTTCCAGCTCACTCCTCGAAAATGTCTAAGCTCATTACCTTGATGGTGACGTCGGCGATAATATGGCAACATGTTCGCATTACTCCACCGAGTGCTTGGGAGAAAAAAACAACCTTCAACCCTGAGGAGAACTCCACAAGCGCTCCTGAATTTGGCCAAGTCCCCGTCAAGCAAACACCGATGGACGGCACCAAAGATGACCATGAGGGCACACGGGTCAAGGTGGAGTTCTTGGCTCAAGGAACGCCGTGCACTAAGCCGGAGCAAGGGCTTGACGACACTGGATTCCACACGGACGTAAGGACTTTAATTTTGTAGAATATACTTACATATAAAAGGGAAATTTGTGAATGCGTGTCTGTTCGAAATGTTTAGCATACTTCCCGACATGCAACAAACTTGAAATTTGGCATATGGGCAGCTTCCAGACTTTCACAATGCAAAAAGTATGCCGTAGCGTCACGCAGTGTGCCTGCCGACGTCACGCATCCCCCCCACCCTCCGCGTAGGCCGTGTATTCGTCCAAGACAAGAATCCAAGTCCCGGGCGAAGCCGGGTAGTAAAACTAGTAACGTGTAATTGCCTTGTGGTGGCACTGTGAAGGGTGGGTTCATAGCCTTTGACCAAATCAGAATCAGGATTTATATCCTGGAAAAAAATCCGATGAGCTATGAAACTTTTTTTTACAGAGGTCCAGTCGGGATGGGTCAGAAATTTACAATACAAAAAAAACGATAGGATGACAACGTATAGGAAAATTAAGCAAATCACTAAAAATAAAACTAAAATAGATCAAGTACAGGCGTGTCTCGCTTAAAAGCGAGAAACTTTCCACGGAAATTGCTCGTTAAGTAAAAATTCGTTAAACGATCACAGTTTCGCCATTGACTTCCATGTTAAAAGACGTTACTTTTCAGCCCCAACATTTCCCACTCTTGAACAATATAAAATCAAATGTCACATTTACCACACATGAAGAACTACAGTGAATGCAGGTGCCTGTCCTCAGCATCTGCAAATAATTAGCGCTACCCTCCCTTCACCAACGTTCCAGATGGCCGCAGAAGCGCATCTGAAAGCGCGCGATGCAAACAACAAACTGCGGCCCTGGCGCCACAGCACGCATTTCATCAATCGGTCTCCGCTCGTTTCACAAACAATTGCTCGTTTTGCGAACAAACTGGGTTCAAATTAAAATTGCTCATTATAACGAATTCTCGCAAAAATAAGGATGCCCTTGCCCAATTTCCAAGCTTGGGCAAGGCAGCAAAACGACAGCAAAAACAGTCCCAGACAACACAAAGTCCCTCAATAAAATTGTACGTGAAAATGTCACAAACAATACATGGGAAGGATGAAAGTTACGAATCACATTTAGAAATGCAGTGGTATCCAGAACTAAGCTTCTGCTTGATAATATTATTTGAAGGAAAATTTACGATATTAATGGTGGAAACAAGGTTGCTCCGAAACGTTGGAGCTGCAATGGCAAATGCTTTGTCACCTATTCCTTTTCTTGTTCTTTGGAGATTTAAAAGTAAATTCGATGGGCGTCTTATGTTTCTTGGGTTTAATAATGGGGTTAATATATTAAGTATAGCACAGATTTAACAATAAGAGATTTTATGGATGGCAGAGCCCAATGTAGATTTCGTCTTGCATCAAGTGATGTGAGATTGTATTTTAAGTAAAGGTCATACATTTCCCAGAATGAACCAGATTTCATCAGAACTTGGAAGCTAAATAGGGTTGAGCCTGGATAGTGCTGAGGTGATTGACCACCACGTATACCGGATTGTCATAGGCAAATATATTCTTGGTTCTTTCGGTAAAGTCACGTATATAGTCGTAGGCAAGTCCGGGGCTATGTGGTGGTCAGCAGAGGGCATCTATTGTTTACTGTGATGCTATGCTCCAACAGCATGATGAAGTATGGTCAGGTAACCTCCAGTGTGGTGTAGCTATCATCCAACAGTGGATTTACAAGAGGGCTGCACATGTGTAGCTAGACGTCTATTGATCTGCATTTTACCCATGACCTTAATTGCAAAAGAACTGTGTTCCCTCAATATTTTGTAAACTTTTGATTTAAAGCTTTCGTGACTGCAGTAATTCATATTCTTAGTTCTTTCGGTAAAGTCACGTTGAAGGGAAACAACAAAATAATAAAATACATATAAAACAATAAAAATTCTCACGACGTTTCGACCATAACACAAAAGGTCGTCTTCAGGTGTGTTGGTTTGCATAAATTTATTTTTAAACGGTGTATTTATTAATTTATTTTAAAAAAAGATCTCCAAAATCTTGAATAAACACAAGATCCAGGTCCGTTTCAACACATTACATAAAATCCGTGATCTGGTTCCGTCTGTAAAAGATGTGATTCCGGACATACAATACCCTGGTGTCTACAAACTAAGTTGCCTCTGTGGTAGTAGTTACATTGGAGAAACCAAACGCCATGTCTCGGACCGCATTCGTGAACACAAAGCAGACCTTAAACACGGTAGGACCAACACCTCGGCCGTGGCAGATCATTGTTATAATTCTGTAGGCTCACATGCCATTGACTTTTCCAAGACAGAGGTTCTTTGTAAACCATCTGGCTACCATGAGAGATTCGTTCATGAGGCTATCCACATATACAAGCACAGAGACAATTTCAACCGAGAAGATGGATTCTATCTTAGCAATCATTGGAAAGATTTGATAAACCATTTCAGGTCTTAATTGATTGTTCACGCTTACAGTGGCTTTCAGACAGCATACATTAAAAAAAAATTCGTCTCCCCCCTACTCTTTTCAGAATATAGATGGACTAGTCCTAAATAAACTGCCAAATCGCTGCGCGTGGCGCTAACGTTTTTTATAAATAAATAAATACACCGTTTAAAAATAAATTTATGCAAACCAACACACCTGAAGACGACCGTTTGTGTTATGGTCGAAACGTCGTGAGAATTTGTATTGTTTTATATATATTTTATTATTTTGTTGTTTCCCTTCAACGTGACTTTACCGAAAGAACTAAGAATATGAATTACTGCAGTCACGAAAGCTTTAAATCGAGATCAAACACGTTAAAGAAGCATTACGACAGAATGGCTACAATAATACTCGAATTAACAGAGCACTGAATGCCAAAACACGATCGCAAAGCAACACTGCTGAAAGCGATCAGATTCTTAAAACAATTAAAATTCCATATATCTCAGGAGTAACTGACAAATTAGCCCGTGTTTTGCAAAAGCAAAACATTACAGTAAGATTTGGTAAAGTACACAAAATTTAAAAACTAGTATCTTGCACAAAAGACGAATTACCTAAATTATCAACAGAAGGTGTATTTCGGATTAATTATTCATGTGGCAGATGCTATATTGGACAGACGGGACGTAACATCAGCATAAGACTAAAAGAACACCAAAGAAATATTAAATTATCTCAAACACAGCTGTCGGCAGTGGCAAAACATGCTTGTCAACAAGGACACTCAATTGATTTTGATAACGTTGAAGTATTGTGTAAAACTAATTATTACTGGCAAAGACTAATTAGAGAATCCTTTGAAATTGAGAGAAACAGAAATAACTTTAATCGTTCTGATAGCTATAGGCTTAGTGCGGCTTGGAAGCGTATTATTAAATAATACATATTACAATTCCTTATAAGGGAAACACATTAACGGATTACTAATGTAGCATATAATCACAATAACACACCTTACAACTAATTACCAATCTACAACTCATTACTAATCATAACCATTGACTGATTGCCAATCGATTATATAATTACAATACCCCCCCCCCTCCGCCTCAATTCACTGCACCTGAAATGAGTTAAATGATGAAGTCACCCTGCTGCTCTATTTAAGACCGAGAGCAAGTGAGGGCTTTACCATTCTGGCGAATTGCCCGATTATGCTGGATGTAATTACCAGCGAAACGTCATATTCAAACTGTAAATGTTGTGGATTCACTCTTCAACACACCGGTGGGCTAAAGTAGTGAACTAATTGTCTTTTGTCAACGTGACACTTTATTTTGCTGATTGGCCGTGTCGGGTGGTGGACGGTTTCGACACATTTATAAATAACCCGATCTAACCCAAAAACCTTTATTATGAATAATATTGGTCGCGAAAGCCTACGTGTTAAACTTCTGGACTTTTGTTTTCTGCCATGAAACAGTTAGTCCCATTTTTATTGCATTGTTGTGGAAATATTGGAGGACTGGTGTGAAAGTGTGATGCTTCTCAACAAACAAGGCTGCATCATCAGCGTAGTCGAGGTCAGTGAAGTGGTGCCGGCCAATCTTGACTCCAAGGTCATGGGTCATGTTTACATGATCCAGTCGATTACCTGACAAAACAGCGCCGGTGCAAGCATGCATCCTTGACGTACTCCAGATGTGGTCTTGAATCGTGGCGAAATCATGGCGAAAGTCTGGACTTGGCACAAACCCTTACACTTGTGCCTGCATGCAGATAATTCCCAAGGTCTAGCAGGAAAAAACGTGTTAATTAAAATAATGGACCAATCCTTCAATGAACTAATCTCTGAAATGTCAATGTCTTGTTTTCAGACCGCATCCGATTATGCCAAGATCATCCACCCCGATGACATCGTCAACAGCATCTTGCTTTTCGTGCAAGTCTGGCTGTGGCTGCAATCCCGAAAGGTAAGGGGGACAGCTCATCATCACCAATGCAATTAGTCTGAATAAAACAAATCCTGGCTTTTGATTTTTAGACCAGCTCGGAGGCTTAGCGTGAATGACTCAATCCCTCGGGGTCTGATGAAATAAGTACCACTTTGTGGGGAAATCAACAGTGGTTGCTCTATGAACAAACAAGTACATCCTATAGGAATGTGTAATTGCTATCTCTGCTTTAATGCTCATTTGAGCAGGATATCCACTGGCGTTTGACATGACCTGCTATGATGACCCGCTGCCATTTTGTAATGGTTAGCACACTGCTCATGAAATGCAGTTCATCATGGAAGTGGAAGCTGGTAGAACTCTACCATTTCTGAATATTCTGCTCGGACGTGGTCGAAATGGTAAAATAACACACAGCGTTTACCAAAAAAAACAAATGCACATTGACTCCTATCTGAATGCAGTCACACCATCACCCCGCGTAGAAATCTGCTCTCATCAAGACGCTCATACAGTGAGGGAAAAAGTATTTGCTCCCCTGCTGATTTTGTACCTTTGCCCACTGACAAAGAAATGATCAGTCTATAATTTTAATGGTAGGTTTATTTCAACAGTGAGAGGCAGAATAACAACAACAAAAATCCAGAAAAACGCATGTCAAAAATGTTATAAATTTATTTGCATTTTAATGAGGGAAATAAGTATTTGACCCCCTCTCAATCAGAAAGATTTCTGGCTCCCAGGTGTCTTTTATACAGGTAACGAGCTGAGATTAGGAGCACACTCTTAAAGGGAGTGCTCCTAATCTCAGCTTGCTACCTGTATAAAAGACACCTGTCCACAGAAGCAATTAATCAATCGGATTCCAAACTCTCCACCATGACCAAGACCAAAGAGCTCTCCAAGGATGTCAGAGATAAGACTGTAGACCTACACAAGGCTGGAATGGACTACAAGACGATTGCCAAGCAGCTTGGTGAGAAGGTGACAACAGTTGGTGCGATTATTCGCAAATGGAAGAAACACAAAAGAACTGTAAATCTTCCTCGGCCTGGGGCTCCATGCAAGATCTCACCTCATGGAGTTGCAATGATTATGAGAACGGTGAGGAATCAGCCCAGAACTACACGGGAGGATCTTGTCAATGATCTCAAGGCAGCTGGGACCATAGTCACCAAGAAAACAATTGGTAACACACTACGCCGTGAAGGACTGAAATCCTGCAGCGCCCGCAAGGTCCCCCTGCTCAAGAAAGCACATATACATGCCCGTTTGAAGTTTGCCAATGAACATCTGAATGATTCAGAGGACAACTGGGTGAAAGTGTTGTGGTCAGATGAGACCAAAATAGAGCTCTTTGGCATCAACTCAACTCGCCGTGTTTGGAGGAGGAGGAATGCTGCCTATTACCCCAAGAACACCATCCCCACCGTCAAACATGGAGGTGGAAACATTAAGCTTTGGGGGTGTTTTTCTGCTAAGGGGACAGGACAACTTCACCGCATCAAAGGGACGATGGACGGGGCCATGTACCTTCAAATCTTGGGTGAGAACCTCCTTCCCTCAGCCAGGGCATTGAAAATGGGTCGTGGATGGGGATTCCAGCATGACAATGACCCAAAACACACGGCCAAGGCAACAAAGGAGTGGCTCAAGAAGAAGCACATTTAGGTCCTGGAGTGGCCTAGCCGGTCTCCAGACCTTAATCTGTGGAGGGAGCTGAAGGTTCGAGTTGCCAAACGTCAGCCTCGAAACCTTAATGACTTGGAGATCTGCAAAGAGGAGTGGGACAAAATCCCTCCTGAGATGTGTGCAAACCTGGTGGCCAACTACAAGAAACGTCTGACCTCTGTAATTGCCAACAAGGGTTTTGCCACCAAGTACTAAGTCATGTTTTGCAGAGGGGTCAAATACTTATTTCCCTCATTAAAATGCAAATCAATTTATAACATTTTTGACATGCGTTTTTCTGGATTTTTTTGTTGTTATTCTGTCTCTCACTGTTCAAATAAACCTACCATTAAAATTATAGACTGATCATTTCTTTGTCAGTGGGCAAACATACAAAATCAGCAGGGGATCAAATACTTTTTTCCCTCACTGTACATCGGGCTAAGAAAGTTGATAGTCTGAGAAGTGAAATTAAACATGTTAAAGAAGTGCTGCAATTGAAAAGTTACAATGATGCACAAATCAACAGGGTATTGAATGCATAGTCTTTAATATGTATTCATTAATCCCCCCCATCCACGAATCTGGCTGTCACCTGATGAAACTAGTTGTAATTACTGGCGAAGAGTCATACTCAGATTGTAAATGTTGTGGCTTGGCTCTCCAACACACCGTTGTGCTGTACTAGTAACGAATTGGCATCTTCTGTTTACGTGACAAACCTTACTAATTGGCTGTGTCGGGGTGGTGGCGGGTTTAATGACACATTTATATATTTACGCGATATAACCCAAACAAACCTCTATTATGGATGAAATGCAAAGTTCATACGATGAATGTGTAAACCACAATCGACTGGAAGGTCGTATGTGGTGGGGTTTAGTGTTGGTACCTCCCAACTCTTTAAACACATCTAGTCAGTGTGGAATAAGAGTCCACTTACACTCTAGGCCGGGGGTGGGGAACCTTTTTTCTGCCAAGGGCCATTTGGATATTTATAACATCATTCGCAGGCCATACAAAATTATCAACTTAAAAATTAGCCTGTTATATTGTGTCAAACATTGAATTAAATCACCTCTAATGTGATGGCATGAGTCTGCCTCTCTTTGGTGGGGCGTGTGATGATGTTTGCTGGTATTGATGATGTTGCTACTCGCAACTGCTTTTCCAGGTTTGCTCCTAGATTTATTGAATTTCGAGTCCCACCTGCGGTAGCCTTGGCAGGGCCAGACCATATGAATTTGCGGGCCTCATACGGCCTGCGGGCCGGACGTTACCCACCCCTGCTCTAGAGCTTCCTCTGGTGACAGCAAGCATATAATTATAAAATGTAAATATATTCATGTATTGTGGTATCATGGGATCCTGTGAGATGGAGATAGCATGTTGGATGTTTCCATTCAGCTAGAGATAGAACATTGCTACTGATGATACCTTTCCTAAAACATTTCTTTGCTTTTGTTTTTTTCTAAGGACCTGTCACCGCCCATCAGCAAGAAGATCAGGACTGTGTGTCGCAACATGAATACGTTGAAAAACAAACTAAAAAAAGTCCGAAGGAAAATGAAGAAAAGACTTCCGAAATCTCCAGCCACCATTGAAAACGTTGCTCATGAAGATATTGACCTGCAACCTTCTGAAATAAATCGGGTGGCGATTTGGCAGCGGCAGGAATACAAGCCAGACCCGGAGCCTGAAGTCTACGAGGCCATCGATCCGACTGGACAACGATTCCAGAAACCCTACAAGGAGATACACTATTCCCGCCACAACGAAAACACCCAAGTGGACCAATGGGCATACATTCGCAAATATGCCAACAAACTTGAATACTACAAAAAGATTCAACCCCGCAACACCCCCGTTACTTACCACACCTTCAACCGCAAGATGAAAGACCGACAGGACATTTGCTTCATTGAGGAGAACTCCGCCATGAACAGATGCACGGTTCACATCACCAAAGCACGAAACGGGCAACAAACAACCAATGTGTACGTCTTCTCCATGCCCAAAACCTCCAGCCGTTAGATGAAACTACATACACTCACACACACGGAGACCTACGCACACGCAAACACTCACACACGCAGCTATACGGACTGTTGGGGAAAAGTGCTGTGGAAGGCTGGCATGGAACACAAGGGGGTGGGTGGCCAACACCATGCCCTCTCTCTCCAGCACGGACATTTACACACAACTCCAGGAACTCATTTCGGGCCAAGTCGACCGAGGGGAGGTCCAGGACCAGTTCAGATATCATCACTGGTGTTGGTGGCCTTGAACTGGAAATTAACTCTGGTGGCAGGGTTCATCGCGAAGTGCACCAACTACTACACCACCGCCCCCCGTGCACACACTGATACACAAACACACACACTCGTATACACACTTGTATGTTGTTATTGGAACCCCTAATGGAGTTGTAAAAATAAAAAAAAATTCGACTACCTCTGAATGTTGTCCACATTTACTCATTCTATACTGCTGGCCAGTGTGGAACTGGACCAAAATATCTTCTAGGGCTCTCTAGATCTCCTAATCGAGGCCCTTCAACCAGCAATGGTGTCAGTAAGCAATTGCAGGGCTGCACTTTTACCTTATTGTTGATATTTAGCTCCCGAACAAGCTGGATTTCGAACTGGCCGTAGCAAATCTGGCTGTCGCCTGATGAAGCTAGTTGTAATTACTGGCGAAATGTCGTACTCAGATTGTAAATGTTGTGGCTTGGCTCTCAAACACACTGGTGTGCTGTACGAGTGACGAATTGGCATGTTCTGTTTACATTACAACCCTTACTAGTTGTCTGTGTCGGGTGGTGGCGGGTTTAACGACACATTTTTATATTTACGCGATCTAAATAAAAAAATCTCTTATAGCTGTAGCAGCTACTGTAAACAGATCATTGTCTTCACCGCCCCCATGAGAAGATGGTTTCCAGCGCCAACAGAGAAGCGGCACAGCCATGATTGACCTCTCTGCTGCTGCCGTTGACACCGTTTGGGCCTCATGGCCGCCTGCTGAAGATACCCAATATCATCCGATGCTGGTTTACTCCACAAATAGTCAAAGTGGAGCTCAGCGACAGTACTTTGAGGGTACACCTCTCGCTGGTAAATACAGCTGCAAGATAATTACGAACAATAGCCTCCCTCACTAGCACTGGAACAATTTAGTCCTCACACCGGAAATGATTTAACATACCTTTAAGTGCCCTGCCGTGTACATCATCTCGAAAGTTCCTGTGCAGGTGACATAGTCCTTTATGCGCAGGGCACAAACCCCCAAAACATTGCTAATACTTCAGCAGCTGATCAAACTTCATTGGGAATATATTTGTTACTGCATGCAGACGCCTAAGAAATCCCTCCAAAATCACTTGTGCTTTCCACCTCAAAAATCAAGCAGCAGATGCCACCATTGATGTGTCATGCGATAGCCCAGCGTGCTGTGACCCTACTCTAAAGGGGTTATCAAGGACAGAAGCCTCTCCTTCAAGCCCCACATGAGCCAGATCCGTGAAAAGACCAAATCAAGAATGGCCCTGCTGCATAAACGTACAGGAACAACCTAGGGTGCTCTCAGCTTATGTGCTGCGAACTGCTACCCTCTCATCGTTCTACTCAGTGGCAATATGTTGTGCTCCAGCCTGGCCTGGGAGCTGATACACAAAACTTCTATATACACAAACAATGTAATGTGCATCATAACTGGAACACTAAAACAGACACCAACCCTCTGGCTCCCTGTTCTGGAGAACATTTTGCCACCAAATATCCTCAGAGGTGTCACACGTGTTCTTGCCAACGACAAGCACCAACCCTTCACCAACCAAGAGCTCAACGTTCAGCTCTTGGTTGGCACCATCCTAGAATAGCATCCAGCTCCGAAATAACGCTAGCATCCATAATAAACACCTTATCCTAGACCCAAATATCAAACCTCCTAGCTTTGACATTCCTCGAAGACACGGTGGAACCATCAACCGTACTAGAACATCATTAGGTTGACGCACACATCTTCATCATGAATGGAATAGTAAAGACACATGCCACATTGCGATTGTGGGCATGTAACCAAAACTATGGACCATATAGTAAACCAATGTAAATGGAGCACCTTCAACAAAGGAGGAATAGCAAGAGAAGGGGAATAGCTAAATGACAGCATTTTGGTATTTTGCCACTTCATGGTCGTTTCATATCAGGCATCTCCATTAGACCAATATAGTGGAACTGTTCAATGCACAATGAACGGTACATATATACAGTATACCACGTGAGGCCATATGTACATAAATTAAACAACATGCAATGAGCTTTCGAATAAAATATTCAACAATTTAGTATGGTGATATTTGTGATTGCGATTTGATTAAAACATCAATTGTGTTTTCACAACAAGTTATTTTTTGCAAGTTTAGGATGCGTAGCTAGAAAGGTTAAAACGGCCAAACATGTAAATAGCTATACTCTTTGGTTCTATTGGGTAAAGTCACGTAGGTGAAAATAAAATAACAAAAAATCACGACGTTTCGGCCACAACACAAGCGGCCTTCATCAGGTGAAGGGACGAGACTGTCTGGAGGACAGCGCTGGAGTGAGAGAAGCCACGCTTAGATCACGACCTTTAAGCTGTGTGACAAGAAAACAAAGCGCCTTGACAGCTTAAAGGTCGTGATCTAAGCGTGGCTTCTCTCACTCCAGCGCTGTCCTCCAGACAGTCTCGTCCCTTCACCTGATGAAGGCCGCTTGTGTTGTGGCCGAAACGTCGTGATTTTTTGTTATTTTATTTTCACCTACGTGACTTTACCCAATAGAACCAAAGAGTATGGATCCTAGCAGTCACGAAAGCTTTAAATCTAGAATGTAAACAGCTACTAATTATTTGCTGGTATTCGCTAAGTGCTGTTTTATTGCAGCACTTCAATTTGCGAAGGGTTGAACGTGAAAAGAAAAACTCATTCGCGTTTTTTTTTACACTTTACCAGGAACATTTCGTATTACTTTTAGCACCACCCCAGACAATATTCAATTCAGCAAAATTGAGATATCCTGGGAGGTTTCTTGAGGTGAAAATAACTTTTTTTTAATAAATGCATCTTCCTCAGCAAATGTCTGTTCAATAAAAATAAATCCATACCATACCAGTACTGCAAACGTGGAATTTACTCTCGTTTCAATCTTGTCTTGACATCCCTGACGACATCACTGTGTCTCTCTCTCGAACTTTCCTCGTGAAGTCATCCTCATCCTGTAACCCGAAGATCGGGCGAGTATTTCTACCCTCGGCACACGCAGGTATCAAGCACTAAGGGGCCGTCCATAGATGACGTCACGCACCTGGGGGGGGGGGGTCAGACATTTGTGACGATGTGTGACGGGGGGGGGGGGGTGAGAAATGTGACGTCACATCAAAATGCGCAACTTTAAATAAATATAGACAACACGTTCTACTTAATTAAATCGTCTTTTTATTAAATGTTTGGTCCTACAACAGTGTACAGCGGCAGATTAAGTGCGCCGTGTGACGATGGGGCGGGGGCGTATGTAAAAAATCGTCCAAAATCGCGTGACGTCATTTATGGACGGCCCCTAACACTACTAATCATAACCATTGACTGATTGCCAATCGATTATATAATTACAATACCCCCCCCCTCCGCCTCAATTCACTGCACCTGAAATGAGTTAAATGATGAAGTCACCCTGCTGCTCTATTTAAGACCGAGAGCAAGTGAGGGCTTTACCATTCTGGCGAATTGCCCGATTATGCTGGATGTAATTACCAGCGAAACGTCGTATTCAAACTGTAAATGTTGTGGATTCACTCTTCAACACACCGGTGGGCTAAAGTAGTGAACTAATTGTCTTTTGTCAACGTGACACTATATTTTGCTGATTGGCCGTGTCGGGTGGTGGAGGGTTTCGACACATTTATAAATAACCCGATCTAACCCAAAAACCTTTATTATGAATAATATTGGTCGCGAAAGCCTACGTGTTAAACTTCTGGACTTTTGTTTTCTGCCATGAAACAGATAGTCCCATTTTTATTGCATTGTTGTGGAAATATTGGAGGACTGGCGTGAAAGTGTGATGCTTCTCAACAAACAAGGCTGCATCATCAGCGTAGTCGAGGTCAGTGAAGTGGTGCCGGCCAATCTTGACTCCAAGGTCATGGGTCATGTTTACATGATCCAGTCGATTACCTGACAAAACAGCGCCGGTGCAAGCATGCATCCTTGACGTACTCCAGATGTGGTCTTGAATCGTGGCGAAATCATGGAGAAAGTCTGGACTTGGCACAAACCCTTACACTTGTGCCTGCATGCAGATAATTCCCAAGGTCTAGCAGGAAAAAAACGTGTTAATTAAAATAATGGACCAATCCTTCAATGAACTAATCTCTGAAATGTCAATGTCTTGTTTTCAGACCGCATCCGATTATGCCAAGATCATCCACCCCGATGACATCGTCAACAGCATCTTGCTTTTCGTGCAAGTCTGGCTGTGGCTGCAATCCCGAAAGGTAAGGGGGACAGCTCATCATCACCAATGCAATTAGTTTGAATAAAACAAATCCTGGCTTTTGATTTTTAGACCAGCTCGGGGGCTTAGCGTGAATGACTCAATCCCTCGGGGTCTGATGAAATAAGTACCACTTTGTGGGGAAATCAACAGTGGTTGCTCTATGAACAAACAAGTACATCCAATAGGAATGTGTAATTGCTATCTCTGCTTTAATGCTCATTTGAGCAGGATATCCACTGGCGTTTGACATGACCTGCTATGATGACCCGCTGCCATTTTGTAATGGTTAGCACACTGCTCATGAAATGCAGTTCATCATGGAAGTGGAAGCTGGTAGAACTCTACCATTTCTGAATATTCTGCTCGGACGTGGTCGAAATGGTAAAATAACACACAGCGTTTACCAAAAAAAACAAATGCACATTGACTCCTATCTGAATGCAGTCACACCATCACCCCGCGCAGAAATCTGCTCTCATCAAGACGCTCATACAGTGAGGGAAAAAGTATTTGCTCCCCTGCTGATTTTGTACCTTTGCCCACTGACATAGAAATGATCAGTCTATAATTTTAATGGTAGGTTTATTTCAACAGTGAGAGGCAGAATAACAACAACAAAAATCCAGAAAAACGCATGTCAAAAATGTTATACATTTATTTGCATTTTAATGAGGGAAATAAGTATTTGACCCCCTCTCAATCAGAAAGATTTCTGGCTCCCAGGTGTCTTTTATACAGGTAACGAGCTGAGATTAGGAGCACACTCTTAAAGGGAGTGCTCCTAATCTCAGCTTGTTACCTGTATAAAAGACACCTGTCCACAGAAGCAATTAATCAATCGGATTCCAAACTCTCCACTATGACCAAGACCAAAGAGCTCTCCAAGGATGTCAGAGATAAGATTGTAGACCTACACAAAGCTGGAATGGACTACAAGACGATTGCCAAGCAGCTTGGTGAGAAGGTGACAACAGTTGGTGCGATTATTCGCAAATGGAAGAAACACAAAAGAACTATCAATCTTCCTCGGCCTGGGGCTCCATGCAAGATCTCACCTCATGGAGTTGCAATGATTATGAGAACGGTGAGGAATCAGCCCAGAACTATACGGGAGGATCTTGTCAATGATCTCAAGGCAGCTGGGACCATAGTCACCAAGAAAACAATTGGTAACACACTACGCCGTGAAGGACTGAAATCCTGCAGCGCCCGCAAGGTTCCCCTGCTCAAGAAAGCACATATACATGCCCGTTTGAAGTTTGCCAATGAACATCTGAATGATTCAGAGGACAACTGGGTGAAAGTGTTGTGGTCAGATGAGACCAAAATAGAGCTCTTTGGCATCAACTCAACTCGCCGTGTTTGGAGGAGGAGGAATGCTGCCTATTACCCCAAGAACACCATCCCCACCGTCAAACATGGAGGTGGAAACATTAAGCTTTGGGGGTGTTTTTCTGCTAAGGGGACAGGACAACTTCACCGCATCAAAGGGACGATGGACGGGGCCATGTACCTTTAAATCTTGGGTGAGAACCTCCTTCCCTCAGCCAGGGCATTGAAAATGGGTCGTGGATGGGGATTCCAGCATGACAATGACCCAAAACACACGGCCAAGGCAACAAAGGAGTGGCTCAAGAAGAAGCACATTTAGGTCCTGGAGTGGCCTAGCCGGTCTCCAGACCTTAATCTGTGGAGGGAGCTGAAGGTTCGAGTTGCCAAACGTCAGCCTCGAAACCTTAATTACTTGGAGATCTGCAAAGAGGAGTGGGACAAAATCCCTCCTGAGATGTGTGCAAACCTGGTGGCCAACTACACGAAAAGTCTGACCTCTGTAATTGCCAACAAGGGTTTTGCCACCAAGTACTAAGTCATGTTTTGCAGAGGGGTCAAATACTTATTTCCCTCATTAAAATGCAAATCAATGTATAACATTTTTGACATGCGTTTTTCTGTATTTTTTTTGTTGTTATTCTGTCTCTCACTGTTCAAATAAACCTACCATTAAAATTATAGACTGATCATTTCTTTGTCAGTGGGCAAACGTACAAAATCAGCAGGGGATCAAATACTTTTTTCCCTCACTGTACATTGGGCTAAAAAAGTTGATAGTCTGAGAAGTGAAATTAAACATGTTAAAGAAGTGCTGCAATTGAAAAGTTACAATGATGCACAAATCAACAGGGTATTGAATGCATAGTCTTTAATATGTATTCATTAATCCCCCCCATCCACGAATCTGGCTGTCACCTGATGCAACTAGTTGTAATTACTGGCGAAGAGTCATACTCAGATTGTAAATGTTGTGGCTTGGCTCTCCAACACACCGTTGTGCTGTACTAGTAACGAATTGGCATGTTCTGTTTACGTGACAAACCTTACTAATTGGCTGTGTCGGGTGGTGGCGGGTTTAATGACACATTTATATATTTACGCGATATAACCCAAACAAACCTCTATTATGGATGAAATGCAAATTCATACGATGAATGTGTAAACCACAGTCGACTGGAAGGTCGTATGTGGTGGGGTTTAGTGTTGGTACCTCCCAACTCTTTAAACACATCTAGTCAGTGTGGAAGAAGAGTCCACTTACACTCTAGGCCGGGGGTGGGGAACCTTTTTTCTGCCAAGGGCCATTTGGATATTTATAACATCATTCGCAGGCCATACAAAATTATCAACTTAAAAATTAGCCTGTTATATTGTGTCAAACATTGAATTAAATCACCTCTAATGTGATGGCATGAGTCTGCTTCTCTTTGGTGAGGCGTGTGATGATGTTTGCTGGTATTGATGATGTTGCTACTCGCAACTGCTTTTCCAGGTTTGCTCCTAGATTTATAGAATTTCGAGTCCCACCTGCGGTTGCCTTGGCAGGGCCAGACCATATGAATTTGCGGGCCTCATACGGCCTGCGGGCCGGACGTTACCCACCCCTGCTCTAGAGCTTCCTCTGGTGACAGCAAGCATATAATTATAAAATGTAAATATATTCATGTATTGTGGTATCATGGGATCCTGTGAGATGGAGATAGCATGTTGGAAGTTTCCATTCAGCTAGAGATAGAACATTGCTACTGATGATACCTTTCCTAAAACATTTCTTTGCTTTTGTTTTTTTCTAAGGACCTGTCACCACCCATCAGCAAGAAGATCAGGACTGTGTGTCGCAACATGAATACGTTGAAAAACAAACTAAAAAAAGTCCGAAGGAAAATGAAGAAAAGACTTCCGAAATCTCCAGCCACCATTGAAAACGTTGCTCATGAAGATATTGACCTGCAACCTTCTGAAATAAATCGGGTGGCGATTTGGCAGCGGCAGGAATACAAGCCAGACCCGGAGCCTGAAGTCTACGAGGCCATCGATCCGACTGGACAACGATTCCAGAAACCCTACAAGGAGATACACTATTCCCGCCACAACGAAAACACCCAAGTGGACCAATGGGCATACGTTCGCAAATATGCCAACAAACTTGAATACTACAAAAAGATTCAACCCCGCAACACCCCCGTTACTTACCACACCTTCAACCGCAAGATGAAAGGCCGACAGGACATTTGCTTCATTGAGCAGAACTCCGCCATGAACAGATGCACGGTTCACATCACCAAAGCACAAAACAGGCAACAAACAACCAATGTGTACGTCTTCTCCATGCCCAAAACCTCCAGCCGTTAGATGAAACTACATACACTCACACACACGGAGACCTACGCACACGCAAACACTCACACACGCAGCTATACGGACTGTTGGGGAAAAGTGCTGTGGAAGGCTGGCATGGAACACAAGGGGGTGGGTGGCCAACACCATGCCCTCTCTCTCCAGCACGGATATTTACACACAACACCAGGAACTCATTTCGGGCCAAGTCGACCGAGGGGAGGTCCAGGACCAGTTCAGATATGATCACTGGTGTTGGTGGCCTTGAACTGGAAATGAACTCTGGTGGCAGGGTTCATCACGAAGTGCATCAACTACTACACCACCGCCCCCCATGCACACACTGATACACAAACACACACACTCGTATACACACTTGTATGTTGTTATTGGAACCCCTAATGGAGTTGTAAAAATAAAAAAAAATTCGACTACCTCTGAATGTTGTCCACATTTACTCATTCTATACTGCTGGCCAGTGTGGAACTGGACCAAAATATCTTCTAGGGCTCTCTAGATCTCCTAATCGAGGCCCTTCAACCAGCAATGGTGTCAGTAAGCAATTGCAGGGCTGCACTTTTACCTTATTGTTGATATTTAGCTCCCGAACAAGCTGGATTTCGAACTGGCCGTAGCAAATCTGGCTGTCGCCTGATGAAGCTAGTTGTAATTACTGGCGAAATGTCGTACTCAGATTGTAAATGTTGTGGCTTGGCTCTCAAACACACTGGTGTGCTGTACGAGTGACGAATTGGCATGTTCTGTTTACATTACAACCCTTACTAGTTGTCTGTGTCGGGTGGTGGCGGGTTTAACGACACATTTTTATATTTACGCGATCTAAATAAAAAATCTCTTATAGCTGTAGCAGCTACTGTAAACAGATCATTGTCTTCACCGCCCCCATTAGAAGATGGTTTCCAGCGCCAACAGAGAAGCGGCACAGCCATGATTGACCTCTCTGCTGCTGCCGTTGACACCGTTTGGGCCTCATGGCCGCCTGCTGAAGATACCCAATATCATCCGATGCTGGTTTACTCCACAAATAGTCGACGTGGAGCTCAGCGACAGTACTTTGAGGGTACACCTCTCGCTGGTAAATACAGCTGCAAGATAATTACGAACAATAGCCTCCCTCACTAGCACTGGAACAATTTAGTCCTCACACCGGAAATGATTTAACATACCTTTAAGTGCCCTGCCGTGTACATCATCTCGAAAGTTCCTGTGCAGGTGACATAGTCCTTTATGCGCAGGGCACACACCCCCAAAACATTGCTAATACTTCAGCAGCTGATCAAACTTCATTGGGAATATATTTGTTACTGCATGCAGACGCCTAAGAAATCCCTCCAAAATCACTTGTGCTTTCCACCTCAAAAATCAAGCAGCAGATGCCACCATTGATGTGTCATGTGATAGCCCAGCGTGCTGTGACCCTACTCTAAAGGGGTTATCAAGGACAGAAGCCTCTCCTTCAAGCCCCACATGAGCCAGATCCGTGAAAAGACCAAATCAAGAATGGCCCTGCTGCATAAACGTACAGGAACAACCTAGGGTGCTCTCAGCTTATGTGCTGCGAACTGCTACCCTCTCATCGTTCTACTCAGTGGCAATATGTTGTGCTCCAGCCTGGCCTGGGAGCTGATACACAAAACTGCTATATACACAAACAATGTAATGTGCATCATAACTGGAACACTAAAACAGACACCAACCCTCTGGCTCCCTGTTCTGGAGAACATTTTGCCACCAAATATCCTCAGAGGTGTCACACGTGTTCTTGCCAACGACAAGCACCAACCCTTCACCAACCAAGAGCTCAACGTTCAGCTCTTGGTTGGCACCATCCTAGAATACAATCCAGCTCCGAAATAACGCTAGCATCCATAATAAACACCTTATCCTAGACCCAAATATCAAACCTAGCTTTGACATTCCTCGAAGACACGGTGGAACCATCAACCGTACTAGAACATCATTAGGTTGACGCACACATCTTCATCATGAATGGAATAGTAAAGACACATGCCACATTGCGATTGTGGGCATGTAACCAAAACTATGGACCATATAGTAAACCAATGTAAATGGAGCTCCTTCAACAGAGGAGGAATAGCAAGAGAAGGGGAATAGCTAAATGACAGAATTTTGGTATTTTGCCACTTCATGGTCGTTTCATATCAGGCATCTCCATTACACCAATATAGTGGAACTGTTCAATGCACAATGAACGGTACATATATACAGTATACCACGTGAGGCCATATGTACATAAATTAAACAACATGCAATGAGCTTTCGAATAAAATATTCAACAATTTAGTATGGTGATATTTGTGATTGCGATTTGATTAAAACATCAATTGTGTTTTCACAACAAGTTATTTTTTGCAAGTTTAGGATGCGTAGCTAGAAAGGTTGAAACGGCCAAACATGTAAATAGCTATACTCTTTGGTTCTATTGGGTAAAGTCACGTAGGTGAAAATAAAATAACAAAAAATCACGACGTTTCGGCCACAACACAAGCGGCCTTCATCAGGTGAAGGGACGAGACTGTCTGGAGGACAGCGCTGGAGTGAGAGAAGCCACGCTTAGATCACGACCTTTAAGCTGTGTGAGAAGAAAACAAAGCGCCTTGACAGCTTAAAGGTCGTGATCTAAGCGTGGCTTCTCTCACTCCAGCGCTGTCCTCCAGATAGTCTCGTCCCTTCACCTGATGAAGGCCGCTTGTGTTGTGGCCGAAACGTCGTGATTTTTTGTTATTTTATTTTCACCTACGTGACTTTACCCAATAGAACCAAAGAGTATGGATCCTAGCAGTCACGAAAGCTTTAAATCTAGAATGTAAATAGCTACTAATTATTTCCTGGTATTCGCTAAGTGCTGTTTTATTGCAGCACTTCAATTTGCGAAGGGTTGAACGTGAAAAGAAAAACTCATTCGCGTTTTTTTTTACACTTTACCAGGAACATTTCGTATTACTTTTAGCACCACCCCAGACAATATTCAATTCAGCAAAATTGAGATATCCTGGGAGGTTTCTTGAGGTGAAAATAACTTTTTTTTAAATGCATGCATCTTCCTCAGCAAATGTCTGTTCAATAAAAATAAATCCATACCATACCAGTACTGCAAACGTGGAATTTACTCTCGTTTCAATCTTGTCTTGACATCCCTGACGACATCACTGTGTCTCTCTCTCGAACTTTCCTCGTGAAGTCATCCTCATCCTGTAACCCGAAGATCGGGCGAGTATTTCTACCCTCGGCACACGCAGGTATCAAGCACTAAGGGGCCGTCCATAGATGACGTCACGCACCTGGGGGGGGGGGGGGTCAGACATTTGTGACGATGTGTGACGGGGGGGGGGGGGGGAGAAATGTGACGTCACATCAAAATGCGCAACTTTAAATAAATATAGACAACACGTTCTACTTAATTAAATCGTCTTTTTATTAAATGTTTGGTCCTACAACAGTGTACAGCGGCAGATTAAGTACGCCGTGTGACGATGGGGGGGGGGGGGGTATGTAAAAAATCGTCCAAAATCGCGTGACGTCATTTATGGACGGCCCCTAACACTACTAATCATAACCATTGACTGATTGCCAATCGATTATATAATTACAATACCCCCCCCCCTCCGCCTCAATTCACTGCACCTGAAATGAGTTAAATGATGAAGTCACCCTGCTGCTCTATTTAAGACCGAGAGCAAGTGAGGGCTTTACCATTCTGGCGAATTGCCCGATTATGCTGGATGTAATTACCAGCGAAACGTCGTATTCAAACTGTAAATGTTGTGGATTCACTCTTCAACACACCGGTGGGCTAAAGTAGTGAACTAATTGTCTTTTGTCAACGTGACACTATATTTTACTGATTGGCCGTGTCGGGTGGTGGAGGGTTTCGACACATTTATAAATAACCCGATCTAACCCAAAAACCTTTATTATGAATAATATTGGTCGCGAAAGCCTACGTGTTAAACTTCTGGACTTTTGTTTTCTGCCATGAAACAGTTAGTCCCATTTTTATTGCATTGTTGTGGAAATATTGGAGGACTGGCGTGAAAGTGTGATGCTTCTCAACAAACAAGGCTGCATCATCAGCGTAGTCGAGGTCAGTGAAGTGGTGCCGGCCAATCTTGACTCCAAGGTCATGGGTCATGTTTACATGATCCAGTCGATTACCTGACAAAACAGCGCCGGTGCAAGCATGCATCCTTGACGTACTCCAGATGTGGTCTTGAATCGTGGCGAAATCATGGCGAAAGTCTGGACTTGGCACAAACCCTTACACTTGTGCCTGCATGCAGATAATTCCCAAGGTCTAGCAGGAAAAAAACGTGTTAATTAAAATAATGGACCAATCCTTCAATGAACTAATCTCTGAAATGTCAATGTCTTGTTTTCAGACCGCATCCGATTATGCCAAGATCATCCACCCCGATGACATCGTCAACAGCATCTTGCTTTTCGTGCAAGTCTGGCTGTGGCTGCAATCCCGAAAGGTAAGGGGGACAGCTCATCATCACCAATGCAATTAGTTTGAATAAAACAAATCCTGGCTTTTGATTTTTAGACCAGCTCGGGGGCTTAGCGTGAATGACTCAATCCCTCGGGGTCTGATGAAATAAGTACCACTTTGTGGGGAAATCAACAGTGGTTGCTCTATGAACAAACAAGTACATCCAATAGGAATGTGTAATTGCTATCTCTGCTTTAATGCTCATTTGAGCAGGATATCCACTGGCGTTTGACATGACCTGCTATGATGACCCGCTGCCATTTTGTAATGGTTAGCACACTGCTCATGAAATGCAGTTCATCATGGAAGTGGAAGCTGGTAGAACTCTACCATTTCTGAATATTCTGCTCGGACGTGGTCGAAATGGTAAAATAACACACAGCGTTTACCAAAAAAAACAAATGCACATTGACTCCTATCTGAATGCAGTCACACCATCACCCCACGCAGAAATCTGCTCTCATCAAGACGCTCATACAGTGAGGGAAAAAGTATTTGCTCCCCTGCTGATTTTGTACCTTTGCCCACTGACATAGAAATGATCAGTCTATAATTTTAATGGTAGGTTTATTTCAACAGTGAGAGGCA